TTAAGCTTTCTTTAAGCTTACGTATCATTTAAGGATCATAAGCCGAACTTAAATTCAATACAAAATCAACTAACAAGAAACTTACCCTTTTCCAATGGCTTTCACGTATGAAGAAGGAAGAAGAATTCTCTGGAGCTTTTACTTTTACCTTCCTTCAATCCACGTGGTTATAATATAACCTCTATCAAATTAATTATATTGTTTACCAAATTACCATTTTGACCTTCAATCCATCATTCTTTACAATTCAATTCTACATAGGATTTTTTATTTAAGTCCCTGAACTATTCAATTTATCTACTTTAATCAATAAATTCTGAAGTTTTATAATTTGGTCACTAACCCGGTATTGAGGATGTTACAAACGGGTAACCCGATCCAATCACTGTGTCACATTACTACCACCAGAGTGACCCACTCTAAAAATTTTGAAAAAAATTAAATCTTTTATTAAACCATTTCAAATCTTGAAACAATTATACTTGAAAATAAGAATACATAAACCATTTATATATTAAAAGCACAATTGAAACCATACAAGTGCAAACTCGATACAAAATCAAATATGAAACATATGCCCCTTAATTATACATGTATCGTACTCTGCAAACAGTGCCAAAGGAACTCTCTTATTAATGCCGATACAGCACAAGATCAAGTTCTTAAAACCTGAAATGATGAGAGAGAGAGTAAGCTTTGGGAAAGCTCAGTAATACAAAACTACCTGATGATGCAAGAGAATAAACATATATAAGTCAAAGCATGAAATTTCCTTAGTTATCCAGTCATAAACATTTCCTAATGATGAGTTGAGATTTCGTTATTTAAAATTTTCAGGTAACCACCAAGAAACTTATTCAGAGGAAATGTTTAGAGAGACAGACTCAGGAGATTAAAATGAGGTCTAATGTGTTCCCACAAAACCAAAGTAAATGAAATCATAGTTTATAAATAATAATAGTTTATTTTAATCAAACATATATTTTTTAAAAACAAAGTGATATCCTTCACCCAAACACTCCATATGCATATCCCCAAAACTACATCCATAAAGACTTACCCTAGGCCCATTGGGCGTAGGAGCCAACCTAAGGAAGCACATTGTGTCCATAAAAACTTGTCTTAGCCGAAGCATAGGAGCTACCTAAGGGGAGTGGCAGTGCATGTAGTGTCTTAGGGTGGTTGGACGGCTACCATTTATTTCTATATTTGCATTTTAAGGGCTCGGGAGTTGTTTACCGATGTTACTTTATGATGATGAACGACAAAGAAAAGCTTTTTACCTTGACCAGAACTTGTTTCTGCTCACCTTCATTCACACCATGGTTTTCAACAGTAACTCGACCACCGACTGACTCCTCTCAATGTTAGGAACACAATATTGTCGGTGATGTATTAAATCGATGCTTGAATGGTGAAAAATGACGATAAAAGCTTACTTGAGGAGAGAGAAAAGAAATAATGAATGAAGAGAGAAAAAAGTGGGGGTTTCTAATATTAGGTAGTTACAAGACATGTGAAATGTTTTTATCCTATTTAAAAAATAGTAAAAATACACCTTAAGTCCTTCAACTTCTTATTTCTTATAAATTTAATTTAATACTTTAAATTAATAACATTTAGTCCCTAAATTGGGATGTGACAACTCTCCACTCCTTACAAATATTTTGTCCTAGAAATATACCAAAGTCAAAGAAAGACAGAAACTGAACTTTCATCAACTCTTCAGTATCTTCATTTAGTTCTTACATGACTATGATTCATCCATTAATCATTAACCATAAAAAATTATTACTCGTCAGAACTCTTCCTTATCATGATCCCAAAATTAGAATAAAGTTCTCTTATGGAACTAATCGGACCTTAATTACCAATTTCTTAATCAGAAAAACACTTACTTACTTTCGATGCAACTTGTAGACATAACCATTTTCTTTCAGACGTAACAAAATCACCTCGAGATTTACACTTTCACCATTTACACGAATGCTTTCATTAATCTCATATTAATCAAAACGCTAAGGTGTGAGACTCAACACTTATCGGGTTTCAATTTTATAAAACTAGAAAGTATAATTCCAAAAATTCTCTTAACTTACGTTCATGAAAGCATAACTTAAAGTATTCACGTTATCAAAGTTTGGACCAAATACCTTGCTCTTCAATCCACATGGGTAACAGTTCTTAATCTTAAAATTTCTCCTATAAAATTTGGCAACGAGCTTATCATTATAAAATGTTTGGGTGATATAACCTAATTCCATATCAGGAACCAAGTCAACATTCTCGAGTAAGTAACTCTCAGTTATTAACGAGGCGATTTACAGAATATGGATGAATTTTGATTATATTCTTTTACGCATAGGTTGAGCCCAAACAGACAAAATAATTAGGCATACTTAATATAGATAGAGGACTCAACACCGAAGTATCGGCTTAAAAGAGTACGGTTATAATCTATGGGCATGTACTGACCAGACATCCTATGACAATTGATCGATCGGTCTACCCAGAAAGACTCGACTCAACCTAGGCTCTGATACCACTAAAAATAACGTCTTTAAACCGATACGGGTAACCTGATCCAATCCATGGTGTCACATTAAGGCCACCGGAGTGACTCACTCTGGAAATCTACAAAAAATTAAAATCTTTTATTAAACCATTTCAAATCGTGAAACAATTATACTTAAAAATAAGAATACAAAAACCATTTATATATTAAAAACATATTTGAAACCATACAAGTTTAGACTCAGTATAAAACAAATATGAAATACATGCCCCCTAATTACACCTGTAACGTACGCTGCAAGAAGTGCCAAAAGAATTCTCTTATTGATGTTGATACAACACGATATCAACTTCTAAAAACCTAAAATGGTGAGCAAATATATGTCAAAGCATAAAATTTTCTTAGTTATCCAGGCATATACAAGTCCTAGTGATGTACTTAGATTTCAATAAAACATATTTTTTAAAAACACAGTGATACCCTCTACCCGAACACTCCATATGTAGTTCCCTAAAACTGCATCCATAAGGACTAACCCTAGGCCCATTGGGCGTAGGAGCCAACCTAAGGGAGCATAATGGGTCTATAAGGTCTTATCCTAGTCGAATCATAGGAATCACCCGAGGGGAGTGGCAGTGCGTGTGGTATCCTATGGTGGTCAGATGGCTACTATTTTTTCCATATTTACGTTTTAAGGGCTTGGGAGTTGCTTACCGATGTTACTTTGCGATGATGAACGACAAAGGAAAGATTTTTACCCCGACCGAAACTTATTTTCACTCACCCCCATTCACGCCACGACTATCGACAATAACTCAACCACCGACCAACTCATCTCAATGTCACAAACACAATGTTGTCATTCATATCATAAATCGATTCTCGAACGGTGACAAAACGATGGTAGAAGCTTACTTGAGGATAGATATAAGAAAAAGAAATAAGGAGGAGAGAATAAAATAGGGTTTCTAATTTTAGGTAGTTTTCAGACATGTGAAGGGGTTTTATCTCATTTTAAAAATGGTAATATTACACCTTAAGTCTTTCGACTTCTTATTTCTTATGAATTTAATTTAATAATTTAAACTAATAACATTTAGCTCCTAAATTGGGATGTGATATTTCTCCCATCCTTACGAAAATTTCGTCCTGAAAATATACCAAAGTCTAAGAAAGACAGAAACTAAACTTTCATCAATTCTTTAGTATCTTCATGCAACTCTTACATGACTATGATTCATCCATTAATCCTTAACCATAAAAAATGATTACTCGTCAAAACTCTTCCTTATCATGATCCCAAAATTTGAATAAAATTCTATTATGGAACTAATCGGACCTTAATTACCAATTCCTTAATCATAATAACACTTGCTTACTTTCGATGTAGCTTGTAGACATAACCATTTTCTTTCAGACGTAACTGAATCACCTCGAGATTTACACTTTCACCATTTACACAAACGCTTCCATTAATCTTATAGTGATCAAACCACTAAGGTATGAGACTTAACACTTATCGGGTTTCAATTTCATAAAACTATAAAGTATAATTCCAGACATTCTCTTAATTTACGTTCATGAAAGCAGAACTTAAAGTATTCACTTTATCAAAGTTTGGACAAAATACCTTGCTGTTCAAACTACGTGGGTAACAATTCTTAATCTCAAAATTTCGCTTATAAAGTTTGACTACAAGTTTATCATCACGGAACGTTTGGGTAACAATTCTTAATCTCAAAATTTCGCTTATAAAGTTTGACTACGAGTTTATCATCACGAAACGTTTGGGTGATTTAACCTAATTACATATCAAGAACTAGGTCAGCGTTCTCAAGTAAGTAACTCTCATGTTACTCACGAGGCAATTTACAGAATCTTGATGAATTTTGATTATATTCTTTTATGCACATGTTGAGCTCTAACGAACAGAATACTCAGGCATTCTTATTATAGATAGAGGACTCAACACCAAAGTACCAGCTCAGAGTAGTACGGTTATTATCTAGGGGCATATATTGACCATACATCCTATGACAGTCGATCGATCTACCCATAAGAACTCAACTCAACCTAGGCTCTGACACCACTAAATATAACACCCCTAGACCGATACGGGTGACTCGATCCAATCCACAGTGTCACATTAGTGTCATTGGAGCGACCCACTCTAAAAATTTGGAAAAAAATTAAAATCTTTTATTAATCCATTTCAAATCTTGAAACAAATATACTTAAAAATAAGAACACATAAACCATTTATTTATTAAAAGCATAATTTTAGCCCCTAAATTAGGATGTGACATCCTCAAAATACCATATCAATTTTTTAAAATTAATATCATAATATCTTCTACTTAATTTATATAAATTTATAATTTATAATACGAACTAAATGATTTCAATGATTATAAGAATAGTTGTTATCTCTAGAAGTAAACAAACAAACACAAACATATAAACTGGTTTTTGTATTTCTTAAATAGATTGTATACACCAATACAAAGATAAGTTATATCTTTATAACATATTAGCTTTGCCTTCTTCAAGTTATTATAATAGTTTTAAGACTCGTGAATCAGTAGCAGAAGTTGATGTTCAGCTCGAACTTCAGTATTCCTCGGTTCATCTCTGTTCGAATCGTTTTGTTAACGCTGTCTTTTGATGGCCTTGATTTCCTTTCTAACAAAGTAAATTCCGACAATAGGAGCGGCATAAGGAGCGGCACCAGGAACGAGTGCAGCGGCAGCAACACCATTTATAATACGGCCTGTAGCCTGGGTGCCAGCGGCGGAGGTTCCCGTCTTGCAATACACGGCGAAGTCCTCGCAATTGTTAAAGATCATATCGTAGTTGTCGTACCCTTTTTCGAGAAAATAGATGGCAGTCGTGATAACTTCATGGGGAGGCTTGGACGGGAGGCAGGAGCAGGTGCCGTTTTGTCTGAAAAAGAAATCAATAGAAGGAACTCCATAGTCGTAGATTTGAACTGTTTCTCCTTCGAGGAAACAGTCAATGCATACTTTGGCTATTTCGCCATTGATGAATCGCTTGTATCCACATTTATTGCATGAAGATGACTCCTTAAATTTCTTTCTTTTTCCTCGGAGATGAATCACCATGTCGTTGCCCACATATATTCCTGCAGGGATTAGTCTTAAACATCCAAATGTGTGTGTGTGTATATATATATTTATATATTGATGGTAACCATGTATATATATGTTATACATTTATATAAATAGAAAAGAACGAGAAACAAACCATGGTGATCGTATATAAGCTTCATTCTTTGACAATAGATGTGGTCGCCTGCTTCGAGTTGCCTTGGTGCCATATCTAAAATTATATTATTTTATGTGAATACTTTTGTTTAACGGGTGTTTTTAGCATTAAACTCAGGATGATTTATAGTAGTTGTGGGTAGAAGAAGTAACATAGGATGGACAATAAAGAAAATGCCAATGGAATTTGATTCTTTTGGAAAGTAGGTTCTTGTGCCAATTTAGTCAAATTATCCTTCTTCGATGATGATAAATTACACATCCAATGTGGATGCTTGACACAATTATTGTTAGATAAAAGTAAAACTAAAGATAACGTAGACACCGAATTTTAATACAAAACCCAACATAGTAGACTCAAATATTTATCATTTTTGCCTCTGAGATATTTTCACATCAATTTAACCCCCGAAGTTGTTTAATTACATTAATGTTTAAGATATTTACTATTGTTTAGGTTTTAGGTTTTAAAATGATGCAAAACAACTTCGAGAGTTAAATTGATACGAAAATATCATAGGTACAAAAATGATAAACTGAGTAGGAACAAAAGTAGCCCTTAAGCCTAAATTAAATTATTGGGATAAACTATTGTCATATGATTATGAATAATACAAGCTAATATTATATATTTGTGTTTGAAAATTTCAAAAATTCAATTTAATGTCAGGCACAAGAAAATATTTTTTTAAAATCTAAAAGACTCATTCAATAATGATTCATAACGATGAATGAAAAATATTAGAGAGTTCAATCTACTTTTTGAATGTTGATTGTTAAACTCTTTTAAATGATATCGAATATCATGATATGGAGAGAGAAATTTCATTTAAGACGTCTTCAACACCAGTAATATAATATTTACCTAAACATTATCGGAATGGAGTTATTTACTTAATACATTATAACTTTAAATTAATTATTTTTGTATCATTAATGTCAATTGTTACTTTCAGAATACTAAATGCTCTTGGACGTTAAAGTGCATCAGCTAAAATATGAGAATCATGCACATTATCTTTCTACCTGTTAGAACATGAGTAAATTTCAAATCAAAGGTAATCACGGTAATTAAATTTTAAGGTAAACAATGTGTTTAATACTTAAATTATTAGTTTTCGTCTGTTATAATATCTAAATTTTCATTTTTTTTTTCAAAATCATACTTAATGTTTATTTTTTGTTTTATTTTAGTACTCTGTCGTTAAAAATTTAATGCGTTTAGTACATAAACTATCAGTTTTGACCCGTTTTAGTACCTAAACTTTATTTTTTTTTAAAATCTTAAGTATGGTTCAAGTACTAAACGTATTTTGGTACCTAAACTTTTAAAAAAAAAATCAAAACTTAAGTTTTTTGGTATTAAAATAAACTATAAACTAAACTTTAGGTGTGGTTTTAAAAAAATAAAAGTTTAGATACTTAAACATATCAAAACTGAAATTTAAGTACTACCCTAAATTTTATTTCGCCTCCCCTTATTATTATAAAATCGTCATTAAATACTAAGTGAAACATATGCACGAACACGAGTTTCATCGAATGCTTGAACGTAATCTTTCAAATTTGAATAAAATATTAGAATGTTTCTTATTTAAAGACGATTTGAGTCGTGAATAATGTAGTGATTAGTTTATGTAATTTCAAATTTGTTTCAGGCACGGGTTAATTGAAGCTCTCTTTGTACATCACAGTTTAGAGTTAATTGCGTCATATGTCTTTAAACTATGATTCTTATTTTAAATTGATCCCTAAATTTTTAAGTATTTCAATTTCATCCTTAAACTATGATTATCATTCTAAATCAGTCCTCAACTTTTGAATATTCTAGTTTCATCCCTAAATTATATCTTTCATTCTAAATTAGTCCCCAAACATTTTCAACATTTCAATTTCATCCCAAATTATATGTATGTGCTAATCACGTTCCATGTTAATAAAATCGTTAGATCAAGTTATATTATTATATGTTTGAAAGAAAAATAAATTTTAGGTTAAATTATGGATAAAATTAATTACATATTTGGATGGATTTGGGGATGAAATTGGAGGTTTAAAAGTTTAGAGACCAATTTAGAATAAGGGTCATAGTTTGAATTGGAATGTTCAAATGTTTAAGGACTATTTTAGAATGAGTATCATAGTTTCAGGATGAAATTATAATTTTTTAAAGTTTATAGACCAATTTAAAATAAAGGTCATAGTTTAGGAACATAAGATGCAATTAACTCCATAATTTATAAAAAAAGATTTATATTTCAATGAATTTAGTTGAGTGAAATTATAATTCGTACTGAATATAAGAAAAACATAATTCCTCGTGTTTATAAAAGATTAGCTTAAAAAATACGAAGTCTCATATCGAATATAAAACTATAATTCCTCAAATATATAATAAAATATTCCAATGTGAGGATTATATTCATAGAATTCATAAATGTTTTTAATAATTAATTGGATGGCGAGTAAGGCGAGAGGATCTGCTGGGAAAGACTGCGTTACAATTATCATCTTTAATCTTCCAGAGTTCATCATCATGGTCTTTGGCTATTTTTTGATAAATTTGGTGAGGTGGTTGATTCCTTCATCCCTAATAAAAGAAGCAAGGGAAGAAGCAGGTTTGGTTTTGTTCGCTTCACCAGATTGGAGGATGCGAGGAAAGCTATCGTTTGTGCCGATAGATCTAGGATTCAAGGGAGCAAAGTTAGAGTTTTTATGGCGAAATTTAAACCTCATGAAGCTTTCTGGAGAAAGAAGTGTTCTGCTCCAAAACCAGTTGTGGCTAAGAGTAGAGTGGAGAGTGTTAATCTTATTGAGGCTCCCATTGTTGGTGTTATTGATGAGGATAAGCTATCTACCCTTAAAGACAGTTTGGTAGGTTGGTGCAGAAAACTTATCAAAATGAAGGAGCTGGCTGCTATCATGCACAAAGAATGCATATTGCGTCCGAGAATTATGAGATTAAGCGGAATAACAATTTTAATTTTATTTGAAGATGAAGATAGTATGAAATTTACTCTAAACAATCAGATTGAGGCGTTGCAAACCTGCTTTGACGAAGTGGAAGTGTGGTCGGAAAATGTTAAGTGCAGCAGTCGACGAGCATGGTTATCATGTAAAGGAATCCCACCGTTTCTGTGGAGTCCTTCAACTTTCAAAAATATTGCAGGAAAATGGGGTGAGCTCATTTCCATAGAGGAAGGAACTTTGAATCTTGGTTCGTTTGATAGGGCTTTGTTTCAAGTTAGTACGAACCATCAAGCTCGAGTGGAACAAACTGTAGACTTGATAGTCGGGGATATGTCTTTTACAGTTTTTGTGTCAGAGTTTGAACCTTGTTTCAACCCAGAATCAGTCTGGGAAGATTCGTTGTTATTGGAAAAGGTCGTTGCTTACCCGGTTTCTACGGTGGGTGAGCTTCATGGTGGCTTGTCAGATATTCCTCCTGAGTTGGAGATAGGTGTCGGATTGCCTTCCCTTGTTAATATTGATTCCAGTCATATGAATGATGTTCATACAGAGTATCGAGAGCTCAAAGATGGCTTCGAAGAGGTGTGGACTAAGGAATTAGATTCTCAGGCATCTATTTATGGGGCAGCTGAGCATGTTGTATTTTGCCAGAGGAGTGGATTTTCTTATGCGGTGGAGGAACCTTTTTTGACGCACGTGGATCCTATTGAGGATTTAAGTTCTAGTGTAGTTGGTGATAAATTAAAGGTGGCTTTGTCACATTCTGTAGTGCCCATGAACAAGGTGGAGCATGATGTTTCCTGTCAGAGGAGCGGAAATTCAAATGTGGTGGAGGATTTTAATATTTCGCATGCGGGCTCAGTAATGGCTTTGGATGCTGGTCACGTGGAAAATGCTTTTGTTGGTCCTCTGTCGCCTTTGGATAGGACGATTTGCAAGGGAATTGTCGTTAGTCCAAATGTAGGTTTAGATTCTTTCTGAAATGCGGATGAGGGATCTATATCGAAGTCTCCTGTGGGGGGCGATGTTGAGGAGACGTTGGTAATGTCGTATCGGTCATTTACCAAAAATTTGAACCTGAAGAAATTTGAATTTATGTTGGACATTCAAGGCAAAATCCTATCTAAAACTGAGAGAAGAAGAAGAGATCTTATGCTGAAGAAATACAATTTGAAGAAATTGGATCTTTTATTATCCGAATTATCAAGGAAATCTATTTCAGATTCTGTTTTAAAACAAATGTGGGTTGAAGCTATTAGGACCGTCGGCGCACCCCATGGCGCAGCGGAAACAAAACTCGACGGTCTCACCAGCGATCCAAGTATGAAAAACTAAAATCGAGAGGAAATGATGCGAATACTTACAGCAGGTTCCTTGAAAAACAACAAGAACAGCAGTGAATACTGATGGTGTAGATCGATTCGAATCGAAAGCCTCCACGAAATCACGTCTCGACCTCTACTCAGTTCACCCGATTGAGAGCAATATTTGTTTTCCCCAAAACTGTTTTAAGATAAAACGACTGAAGGGTTTGTGTGTGTTACCAAACGGCTACTAGACCTAACACACCCTTTTATATCCATTACCCTAACATCTTAGGGTTTTTAAAGTTGTTTTGAATTAATAAATAAAATATTATTTTAATTAATTCAACTTAAATATACATTAAAGACTTATAATCAGAATTACAATCTTTAATGTTTACTTAAAACATTTATTTAATTATTCCGAATTATATATATATATATATATCAATTAAAAGAGTTGTAATATAAATTACATTCTTTTAATGCTTACTTAATATATTCGGGATAATTAAATTCATATGTATATCAAATATACATATCTTAACTTTAGATATATTTTAGTAACGTATAACAAATTGTACATCTTTGCTCATTTCAATCCTAGGGTGTGACCCTGTAGGTTCTTGTAACGTTAGTAGTAATTATTAGAACAATTCTAAAATTACATACAATGAGTGACATCTAGTAATATATCATTGTCACCTAAGTTACAAGAAAATATGATTCGACATATCATCTTGGTGATTAACTCTTTTATGTATTACATCCTTATGTGCTTTATATCTATAATAGGCACAAGTCTTGG